CACAGCTCAGCGCCCGCCTCCAGAGCTTCCCAGCAGCCCCAGAAGCAGAGACTCTCAGGTGGGGAGTCAGGGCCCAGACAGTCCAGGGCTGGTCTGGGGTCCCCCAGTGAGCTAAGTGGAATGGACAGGAGGTGGGGGGTCCTGCCTGCCTCTCCAAAGTGCCAGGCCCTGCTGCCCCCCAGGACCCCTGCAGCCCCCTCCTCCTAGGCTGCTGCAGGGGACACCCCACACTCCCGCAGGGCCCCCGGGAGGCTCTGAGAGCAGCGCCAGCACCTGGAAGCTAGAATCTGAATCAGTGAGGCTGGGGCAGAACCCTGGGTGGTGTCGGGCAGCCTGGCCGGCCGGGGGATATGGACAGTCGGCCGGGTCAGGACTGCGGGGACCTGAGTCTCCATCTGCAAAGCGGGGAAGCTCTAGCTGACCCAGCCCGTCTTGGGGTCCTTAGGGTAGGCGGGTGAGAGGAGGGGCCCCGAGGGCTCTGGCTGGCGGAGGCAGCGAGCCTTCCGAGCGGGGTGGCCCCCCGCTCCGCCCGAACCCACTCTCACTCTCCTCTCCAGACATCGCCTGCAGGGAGCCCTCCGCCACGGCCAGGGGTAAGTTCTGAGCCCTCGGCCCTCATCCCTCAAAGCCCAGCCCATACGCTTGCCCAGCACAGCCCCAGCTCCAGGCCACGGCCAGACCCCCCACTGCTCCAGCCGGGCTCCCCACTCCGGCAGGGCCATGGGTCCCTGACAGTCACGGGTCGGCGGCAGCACCCCTGGGGTACCGTCTGCCCCCCTCGCTCTTTCCCCAGGGAGGGTGCGAGGGCAGAGCCTACGGGAGGCCCTGTTGCAAGGAGATCGCAGGCCCAGATAGGGACGGGGAGACCCTCGCCGCGGGGGCCCACCCGACGGGCAGCACCGAGGTGCCCGCCCACCGCAGCCTCCCCACCAGCTCTGCGGGGAGGCGGGTGCCAAGGGGCCTCACTGTCCCCCTCGGCCCCAGCGCCCGGCCGGCGCAGGCCCCGCGACGGCGCCCTGATCCTGCGGCTGACGGCATGCGTCCTGCTGGTGCTGGCGCTGGGGCTGTGCTGCAGCCGGGCTGAGCCCGTGGCACTGGCCCTGGAGGACCTCCGGGCCCGGCTCCTGGCCCTCCGCGTGCGTCTGCAGCTCGTGGCCCTGGCCTGCTGGCGTCACCTCCTGCAGCTCTGATGGCCGGCGCTCACCTACCCCGGACCCAGGGGCAGCACTGCAGAGGGAGAGCCCCAGGTCGGGGCTGGGGGCTTCCAGACAGCCCTGAGCCCTGGACTCAGCGGGGCTGCTGCAGGCAGGGTGACTGGGAAAGCGGGCCCACGGCTTGAGATCAGACGTGGGGTGCTGCGGCCTTGGATACGGCAGGCAGCCCCCAGCTCCAAGCAGGCAGCCCCTCCTAGTTCACATGTTAGGGTGCCCCGTGAGGTTTTAGGAGAACAAGAATTCCACCGCTGAAACTCAGGGACCCACGGGTTCCAGCCCCCAGGCTACCCCTTGGGCCCCTCCCTCGCCCCAGCGGGAACTCTTGTGACTTTGGGCCCGGCCCGGATGTGGCCGTGTGTAGCCCCTCGAGGATGGGGACGCCCTCCCTGTGTCTGTGGGAGTCCTGGGAGGAGGTACAACCGGGCTTTTGCTGCTTGGGGCCTGCAGCCCAGACCCCGAAACCCCTGCGGGAGAGGCGCTGGCTGCAGGGCGGGGGGTACTCCCTCCTGCAGCCACGTGCAGGGTGTGGCCCCGGAGCCCCCAACTTGTCTGACACCTGCACCGGGCCCAAGGCCTGGGGATCCCCTCTTGCCTAGCCGTCGGCCTGGGGGTGTGGCCGGCGCAGAGAGGACATCGGGGGGCCGAGAGGACCCCACCACCCTCAGGACACAGCCGTCTGCGCCAGGGTCCCAGCCGGCGCCGCGCGGCCTGGGAGTCCCATGACTGTGTAGACGCCGAGCCTTCAACCCCGTTCCAGGCCAAGGAGGCCACGTGATGACAGACCCCAGGGTCCCCTCAGACGCTGCATGGAGCGGGGCCCTGAACGAAGCAGGGAGGCCCAGGGTCAGACACCAGGAGGCACCGCTAGGGGAGAGGCTGCACCCCCGTAACCTTCAGACGAGTGTCTGCACAGCCGCGGGTGCCGTGCTGCGCCTCCCGCGGGCCTTCTCTAAGCGTCTGTTCCCACGGCTTACGTGGGGAGACACCGATTCTCTATTAAAGCACACGGCCACCTCTTTCAGTCTGCAGACTTTTACCCAAAGGAGGGAGATGGGGACAGATTTGTGGTGGGAGTCACTCCAGCGGCTGACGCAGAGGTGGGCAAGCCGTCCCCTCTGGCCTCAGGGACCGGGGCGGTAGCCTTCGGGGTCCCTTCGGGTTTCAGGACTTGGGGAGCCCCGGGTGGGGAGCCCAGTCGAGAGGGGCCCACCTCCAGGAGCGGTGGCCTAGGGGGACCACGGCGGGGCTCCGGGCCCTGGCCCTCTGGGACCCTCCAGCATCACACCCCCAGCCCACCCCACCCCCAGCCTCATCTCACCTGCCCCCTGAAGAGGGTAAGCAGGTTAATGAGTGCCACAGCCCTGGGGCAGGTACTGGGGGCGGGGTGGGGCGGGGAGCCGCCCAGAAGGGGCTGGGCTGCGGCACTCCCCTCCTCACGGCCCGCTGCGCTCAGCTAAGGGCTGTTCGTTCACTGCAAAGACATGCTCAGCCCTGGAGGGTCCCAGAGACCATGACCCCCATTGTTTTCGGAAAAATATTGCTCAAGGTGTACCCGACAACCCCAAGAATTCCAAAATTTGAAATCCATCCTCACACCTGTGAAGTCTCGACGGGAAGCAGTGAGAACGGAACCCATGAGAGAATGTGCGGATGTGAGGGTACAGCCACTGTGGGGGAGGGGGGCCAACTCCCAGTTCCTAGTAAGTTTCGGGAACTCCAGGAGCAAACAGGGAGTGCAGTGCTTTAAGTCTTAAATCGAAAGCAGATAGAACAATGGAGAAAAGGCAAACTGGAGGCGGAGAAAAGACGGGCAAAGAGATTCCTGCTTGTCCACTTTAGAGGCTCAGGTATTTTTGTTTCTATTTTGACTTGAGAAATAGATGGATACATTTAAGTTTAAGAATCTTTACTTTCAGTTAAGCCAGAAGTGGAAGTAAAACACGATGTCCATTATCAAACAGCAGCGGGGAGAAGCAAGGCATCATGGAAGCAATCGGGTGGACCCACCTCAGGAGCCTCAGAGGCACGGCCACCCCTCCTGTCCAGCCCCGGAGGGTCCGTCCCCTGCCCACTGCAAGGGCGCACGGCTCCTGTCCCAGTACCCCCTCCCCGGGGCCAGCTGTACCTTTCCCAGAAGCCCCCGGGGTGGGGATGTCTGGGGGTGCCGGTGCAGCCAGCCAGTGTGTCAGCAACAGGCCCGCTCTGTAAGTGCACGCAGGTGTCTGCTAGCCTGACCAAGGTGCTGCTCAGGCCAGCTCCAGGCCACCCACAAGTGTCAAATCCGCAGCAGACCCTCGGGCTCCAGAAGCCCACATCCTGGCCCTGCTCCTCCCTCCAGGGCCCAGACGGCTGCTACCTGATGGGGGACAAGGCAGAGCCACCCCACCTTCTGCTGGAGACCAGGAACTGTCCAGGGCCAGACAGGGTCCCCACGGCCGGCGGACTAGGGCGGGCACATCCCCTCAGGGGCCTCAGGTTCTGTCAAAACACCTCCCCAAGGACCCTGCTGCTCTTCCCAAAACTCTCAGCCAGGCCCGGGGCCAGAGCATCTGAGATGCCAGGAACCTCAGTCGCCCTGGTCCCAAGCCCCCACTCCCAAAAGGTGCCAGCCAAGCAGGTCATGACAGGTGACCTGCAGCCTCGCCTCCCGGGCCCGGGCTGCCCGCCACACCTGGCACCTTGACCCAGGCCCAGATCCGTGGCCTCTGGATGCCCCGTTGCCCCGCTTTTTGGGAGACTGAACCATCCACTGGTGGTGAGAGCCATGGACATGGGGAGCGGGGGGCTCACCTTCCCCTGGAGGGTGGGGGGCAAACTGGCACGCGGGCTGGACCAGGAAACTATTTACTAAGCTCAGGGGAGGGGCGGGGCATGCTTACACCTCGGGCACCCCAATCCCGGACAGGACACGGAGGACAGGATGCGGAAGCCGGGGAGCCCCGAGAGGAGGGAGGGCCACAGCCAAGCAGCCCCCTGGTGGCTTGTCACCGAGCCCCAGGGTCCCGGTTCCCCTCCCAGCTCCTCCACCTGCTGCCGAGGGGGCAGGACCCTGCCCTCGAGGCCTCCTGAGTTGGGAAGGCAGCCCCCTCCTCTGGGGTGCAAGGGGCCCTGGGGGCACCCGGGGACGGGGTTGCAGACAGCTGCCCGCTCTGGTCTCCACCCATACCTGCACACTCCCACACACCTGTGTATGGGCACGCTCACCTGCACACTCACACCCACATTCACACACGCTCACACCTCGCCATGCAGGCCCATGTGCCCACACACACGCACACCCTCACGTGCCTCACAGGCACACAGACACCCACAGTGGCACCTGGCCCCCGCTCCCCTGCGAAATGGCATCTCCACATCTGGAGTCCATGTCTCCGACCCCAAGCCCAGGCCCAGCCCACACGGAGGCCCCCCCGGCCTCCCCAGGCAAGTCGCCAGGACGCCCGCGAAGCCACCACCTGACCCCAGGCCCAGCCCCCCGTCCCTGTGCTTCTTGAGCTGAGATGAGTCTGGACTCCGGGGCTCTGGAGCCGCAGCAGAGTGGACTCAGCCCTGGGTGGGGACCACCCGGGGCCAGAGGGCAGCTCCGTCCCACACTCGCCTCTGTCTCGCAGGTGGTGGGATTCTTGTCCACACGCGGCTCAGGCTGGGAACGGGGCACCTGGTGAGGGGGTCGCTCAGTACACGCAGTGCCGAGGGGAGGCATGCAAGTCGCGGGGGGCCGGGCAGAGCCCCGGCCGCGGCCCCAGGGCAGGCCATGTGCCCTGGACGGGGCGTCCGGGGCCAGGCCTAGATGACGGCGCTCTTCTCGCCTTGGAAGGAGGCGTGGGGGGCCGGCCTGGCCAGCAGCAGCTCCTTCTCGTGGACCAGCTTGTCCAGCAGGTCCTCCTGGCGGTAGTTGTGGTAGACTTTCAGGAAGGCCAGGATGGTGATGGCCAACCAGGCCAGCCACGAGGCCCAGAGGCCGAACTGTGGGGGGCAGAGGGCGGGGTGAGGGGGCCAGCCAGACCCAGTGGCCACCACCCACCCCCGGGAAAAGGACGGACCCGCTGGGGAAGGAACGAGGTGCTGCGGGGACAGGACAGGACGGGGACGTCAGCCCCGGCATCTGGCGGCCCTTCCGGCCCCCAAGCTGTGCAAACGCTTTGGGAACTGCCCACGCTTGCACCCCGACAGGGCCCGCGAGGAGCTGGGGCCCGCGCGGCTCCAAGGGAGCTCGTTCCATCCGTAATGGAGCCTGTTCCAGTCGCCGGAAGAAATTGACCTTTATCTGCTGTTTCCAAACAGTTGAAGGGGAAACAGTTTAATCAGAACCGCCTCGAGCTGCAATTAAGCTGGCTCAGTTGAGGGTGTCTGTCAGCAGACTTAGCCTGTACCTTCCTGAGCTGATCGGCATAAATTCCATAAATTCAGGCGGGAGCATCTCCCACTACATTTGCGTGAAGGTGTCTCTGGCAGGCTCAGCTCATCTCAGCTGGACCCACACGACGTCCAGCGCCCTCCACAGGGCTCCTCGCCATAGAAAGAGGCCTCAGACCAGCCACTGGCCAACGTGGGCCCAGAGGTGGACTGCAGGCTGGTGAGTCCTGCCCCGTGCTGAAAGGACCCGCCCCCTGCCCGGGGGGCCCCGTCATCCCTGCCATCAGGGTCATCGTCAGGGTCAGCAGCAGATTTTGAGGGACAGGCCCTCTCTGACCACATGTCCCGACATGCCTGTGTTCCAGCAGACAGAGCCCCCAGAGTTGCCCCGTGGTCTCCTGGAGGGTAGGGGACGAAGCTGGTACAAGGGCAGGGTTGGAGGAGAAGGGGTCTCCCTGACAGTGGCTGGGGGCTCCTCCAAATGCAGGGGCGGACCCCCTCCCGGGACCCCCTTCCTCAGACACTGCCTCGGCACCCCTCTCTGGGGACCCACTGTGAGCCCTCAAGCGTCTATCTGAGGGCCCACCTGGTGCCAGGACCAGAATCCAGACTCCCGGGCCCGGCACTGCAGACCCAGGATGACATCCGGCTCCCTTCCCAGCGCCACCCGGCACAGGGCCACCCCCTCACTCCCCAGGCCTCCCCGCTTCTGCAGTTAGCTCAGAATCTAGCTGTTCCCTCCTCCTAGGACGCCCCACAGCCCACCCCTCCCCACCCCCTGCAAACATCCTCTCAGTCTCCAAGATCCTGCCGTCAGCCGGGAAGCCTTCCCGACTGCTCCCCCAGCCCAGTGCTCTCCCAGCTCTATCTCCTCTGCCTGGCACCGTCCTTAGCTACGAGTGTGTTTCCTGCCCGGCTGGGGTGAGGGGATGGGCTGTGCACTCGGTGAACGTTCAGCAGTGAATGGCCCCCTGCCTGACGATGCACGCCTCCCTTCTGCCCGGCAGCTCCACCCACCTGGGCCATCGCGAACTGATCATAGAAGGCGGAGTTGTCCACGTTCAGTTCCAAATCGATGTCCTGGAGCTCTTCGCAGCTAAAATGGCAAGACGCAGGGTGGATGGGGACTGCTGGGGGACCAAGCATGGGGGGGAGCAGAGCATCACCCCCAAACGGCGAGGGGCTGCCCCCAAGGTGGGGTGGGGCCCCACCTGTGGGGCAGGGAACCCGCAGACCCGGCCCCCATCTGGCGCTGGACAGTGGGGGCCACCAGCGCTGCCCGTCACTCTCCCGGAGACTCCAGCCTTGGCCCCCGCAGCTCCACAGCGCTGCAGAGCCAGGGGCCTCAGAAGCAGGGGCGCAGGGCTGCTGCTTCTAGCCCCTTGGTCCCCGGACTGAGCTACACAGTAGCCCAGCTGAAGCGCCGCGGGCGTCCATGGGGGCAGCCCCGCCCACCTGACCCGCTCACTCTTCACCTCCTGGGGCTGGCGGCACGGGCCAGTGCGACAGCAGGGAACAGCAGGGCAAACTACAGCGTGCTGGTGACCTGCACAAGCTCCTTGTCTGTAGACAGGCTGGGCCAGGCCAGCCTCAGAAGCCTGGAGTGAATGAGGCCTGGGCTCAGGGGCCCGTAGCACCCCGAGATGTCAGGACACGTTACCGGGAGCGTGAGGCCTGGAAGAGGGAGGCCCAGAGGTCCAGGCAGGCCCTGGAAAGGCCTGGAGGATGGGGTTTAAGGGCTGGAAATGGAGTTTGTGAGGGTAAAGAGACTTTCTAGAGAAGCCCAAAGCCATACCCAGGGGCCTGCCCATGCTCCGACGGCTCTGGGGGGTCGAGGGGGGGCGGGGTGAGAAAGCAGGTGGCCGGGGGCCCATCAGGCAGGGCACAGCTCAGCATGGGCAAGACCCCAGCCCACAGGGGGCTGCCTTGGTGGACCGCAAAAGAGCCACCCACCCAGGGTGCTTGAACTTTCCTCTGTTGTGTGCCCCAAGCTGCTACAGAGGCGCCCCGGGGACCCCCAAGGTAAAGGTGCAGGATAAGCAGGTAGATGCGCCCTGCCCCCGCCCACTTCGGATCTTCTGTCCATTCTATACTGTAAGGTTCCAGATCTGATTTTTCTTAAAGAATCTGGAGTCTCTGGAAGAGGTAACCCAGGGTCCCTGCCTTTCCAGGGGAATGGCCTGGGGCACTGGATGATGCCCCTTAGGGCTGGGCAGGGGGCAGCCCTTTGCTGGGGGTCAGGCAGTCACCATGCTCCACCTTGGGCCGCCCCCAAGCCAGAGATGGCCCCTGGCTCAGGGCCCAGAGCATCCGTCCCAGCCCCGAAGGCCTCTGTCCCCGACGCCCTCCGACCAGAAACTTCCACTCCCGTCCCTCACCGTCCCCACCCCCTCCATCCTTACATTCCACGCCCTCCTCATTACCACACCTGGGCCCAGGCCTCTGCCCCCAACGGCAGCACAGGGCCGGCTCTCCAGGGCCTTCCGGGACCTGGAGCCCACCCTAGGAGGTCCCGTCACCCAACCGCGTGTCAGCAATGACGGGGAAGCCAGAACCTCCGACCTCCTAGGCCTCCATCCCCCACCGTACCCCGATCCACCCCCAGGGTCTGTGGGGCCCCTGCTATTGTGTGAAGCTGCTGTGGGCTCCCTGAACTGGGGAGGGGGCATGGGCCCCAGGGCAGGGGTGGCCAGGTGTGCACGGGGCGGGGATCAGGCGGGATGAGCAAAGCTGCGGGCTCAGGGTGGGGTTCGTGCAGGAAGCCATCATCCTAGGAAAGGCGGGCGGGGCCCAGGGCGCACCTGTGGGGCACGGTGCCCTTCTCAGTGACAGCATCACACCACATGCTGAAGCCCACGCTCACGATGGTGCTGGCGATGAAGACCAGGCAGACCACGAAGGCGCTGACCAGCAGGTTCAGGAAGGCGTGGAGGAAGGAGCTGCAGCGAGGGGGGGAGGGGCGGTCACCGCGCCACCCACGTCTCCACAGCACCCCTGCGGGCCAGGCGGCAGCAGGAAGGCAGCCCCCGACCCGCGGGTTCCCAGCTGGGGTTGGGCCCCCGATGACAGGGTAGGGCCAAGCGGGGCCACCAGAGGTCGCTGCCCCTCCGGCAGCGTTCCTCACCCACAGGCCCACGCGCCGGCCAGAGCTGCGCAGCCTGTCCTCCCAAAGCCCGGGACGGGGGACCGTCTTATAGCAGAGTCACGGCCACCATTCAAACCCAAGGCCGCCTGGTTCCGAAGCATCGGAACCAGCACCCATGCTGAAAAGGTCAAGGTGGATCACCCTCGCAGGTACCCACCAAGGCCATTTACCCACACAGTCATCAATGCGGCTGGCCTGCACCTGCCTGGGGGTCTGTGACCCTGCTCTGATTTCTCCACTGAGACCTGAAAGGCCAAGGGGTGACCAGAGCGGGCACCTGGGGGACCCAGGAGGCAGGGCCGAGAGGGCAGAGCTCGCTCAGGGCCAGGCTCCGGGGTCCATGGGAGCGCGGCCCCCACTGGGGTGCTTTCAGAGGGCGCTGACGTTTGCCCTCCGATGGCACGGCGGGTGGGGGGAGGGACGTGGTGGGAACACCCGCCCACCAGACTCTCCTGCCGGTCCACAAGCATCCACCGTCCCACCATCTCCAAAACACCCCCTGGAGATCCAGAGTCCTGCAGGAGAGCAGTCGGCCGAGCTGATGCCGCAGGGGGCGGGGGCGCAGGGCTGCCCCACGGCAGGGGCGGGGTGGGCAGAGGGAACGCCCCACGTGGGACAGCAGCCTGGACCTACACCTAACCTGCTGCAGGTCTGATGTGGACAGTGCTTGCCGTACATTGAATCTGAGGGAAATGACCGACCAAATCTGGCTCCACGGGGAACATTCACTAAACGAGGTGTCAGCTGGGGTTTCAGCCAAGAAAACATCAAAGTTGTCGTCACCGGACGCGGTGACTCGGCCGAGGCCGAGCGGCGATGGACGCGCCGCTCCTGCGTCTGTTGTTTCTTTCTTCCGTTTATCCACCCGCCCGACGCTCTCTGGGCCTCCACCCACCCTGTGCTGGGCCCCGAGGACAGCGCAGCATGGACGCCGCAGTCCCGGCCCAGGAGCTGCCTCAGAAAAACGGGCAGATGGTAAACCGAGGTCACCAGTGCCCGACTCACAGCACGAATGGCCGGGCTGCTTTGTCACAGCCGGGACCGTCCGCATCCCCAGGGAAAGATCCCTCAGGGCTGCTGTCGACAGGCCCCATCCAGGGCCGCCCCGCCGAGTGCCAAGGCTGGGGGGCTTGAGCCACCCCGACAGCAGCGTCAGGGGAGGGGCGAGCACGTTCCTGAAACCCCAACAGTCACCCCTGAAAGGGCAGGGACAGCGGGTCTGGCCCCGTGTTTGCACTCGCACTCCCGCATACACGTGGGGCCTCCACACCCAGGATCCAGGCCAACGGGAGCCGTGCGCAGGGAGCTCCACGCCTGCCACGGCCCCCTGTCCGCGATTCTCCAAAGGCTGGTCCAGGCGGCGCAAGCGCGCCTGTGCTCACCGGGCGTCCGCGGTCCTTGCCCAGCTCAGTGTCGGTTGTGTGTTCACTGTGCTTGAGCTTCAAGCCGCCCACGCCCTGCTGTGTCTCACCCCGTGAGGGCGGCACCACAATCCCTGCCCGAACTGGACCATCGTGTGCAGCTGCTCTTCAGATCCCGGCCCGTCCATCCTCCGCCTGGGGGGCCGAACGGAGGGCGCCGCCCTCTCCCTGGCTCCTGGTTGCATCCAGCCAATGGGGTCCCGGGGGACGTGACAGTGGGGGTGGGGGGTGTTCATCACCAGGTCCCTCCTGGGGGCAGCCTCAGGCTGGCGGTGTCCCTCCACCAAAGGTTGTCCCTCTGGGCGGCCTCATCCACGGAACCCTGCCCAGCCCCTCGGGTGGTGACAGGGTCCCACACCTGGCCCACACCTTAGTCCTCAGGTTTTCCTCACTTGGGCGGTCATCAATCCCACCTGGGACCCTGATGGACACAATTCTGATGGCAAAATCCATCTGGCCTGAGAGCTCGAATTAGGGGCCAGGGGCCTATAGTTATGAAGAGAGGTACGTTATGGCCCATCCCCCTCCGACGCTGTCACCGAGCGGAGGCGGTGTCAAGCCCGCCTGCCCTTGGCCAGCTGTGCGACCTTCACTCTGCAAGGCGCTCTGGGGGCCTCAATTTCTGCACTGTCACATCGGATTACGGTGGGAACTGAAGGAGCTTATGTGGGTGAAGGGCACGTAGCTGCGGGGCGACTCAGGAGCTCTCATCCCCCCAGGACAGACCTCAGCCCAGCATCCAGGCCGGGTCGGGCTCACCGCCCTCTGACCCCCAAGTCAGGGGCACAGCTGGAGCCCTCGGGCTGGGGCCTGTGTTGCCGCAGAAGATGGGGTGCGGGACGCAGGGATGGAGAAGCTGAGTCACCCTTGGGAACCAGATTTGGAGACGGGCTCACGGCCAGCTGTGCCCCCCGGGGGGCAGCGTGGGGCTGGGTGGGGCTGGGGGGTTGGGGAAGGCCCAGCCCACTGGAGCCCCCCTTCCCAGGAGCTGGTGCTCCGAGGAAAGCAGAAGTTATGCAGAGCCTACGCCCCTGGCGTCTCCATCTTGGATGGACACTCGGCTCCAGCCAAGGAGAACGTGGCGGTCCCAGGGAGGCCAGGGACGAGCCGCCACAGGCAGAGCAGAGGAGCAGGCTGCTCTCGGCACAGAAGTCCAGCCCCCTGGGACGGCCGGTTCCCTAGGTGCCCTCCGCCCCCTGACAGCCCTCTGCCGTCCCCCCAGGAAGCCTGTCCGCAGCGGGGCTTGTGGGAGGAGGGACGGCCAGGGTGCAGAGGGCAGGCCAGCGGGCGACCAGCTGGCGTCAAACCCTGCTCCTCCTCGCTGGGGGGCCCCAAGCCCACCCTGCACCGAGTTCTAGAGGCCCAGGAGGGCCCCTCACCCCGCGTGCACAGCAGTGCCCTCGTGGGACCCCTGGCACAGCGGGCCTGAGACACGGCCGACCCGTCGAGAGCTGCCCCTACCCACCTCTCAGGGCGATTTACAGCACAGTCTCTGAGAGCCAGAAACCACCGACACTCCAGCCGCATCCCTGTTAAATGGGCACAGTTTTGGGGTCTCCATCCCACGAGACAGGGAAGGGCCCGTGCTGGGGTCCTGCCAGCCAGCAGCCTCCTCTTACCCTTCCTTTCGGCTTCTGGTCATTTCCTTGGCATGTGCTCTGGCTTTACAGATTTCTGAAGAATCGGGTGTGTGAGAGCCTCTCTTGGCCCCGGCCCCCCAGCGTTCACAACACGACTCCCACCCCCTCCTCCCAGCGACAGGCCGGGGCAGCGGTCAGGAACGGGAGCCCAGCACTCACAGGGTTAACTTCATCTTTCTCCCGCTGCCTGTCAGGGTGCCCCGCCTGGACGCGCCATCTCCATGGCGACAGCTATCCTGGGAAGCCCTGGGAGCGACCTGCAGGCTGAGGGACACGTGTGGGCAGGCAGATGGGCCGTTTGAACCCAGCGCTCCCCAGCCGTCAATCACAAACCACTGCAACGTGGACCGGCAAAGCTGCCCGGCCCCCAGGCCCGACTCACCCTCAGCTCAGCCAGGGGCCCGAAACAGCAATGGCCCCGGAAGCCACAGGGGCCACTGATCCACTCACTCCTTCCCCCAGCCAGCAACCGGGAGGACACCCCCTGTACAGAAAGCTGCCCCGACCCCTTACCCTTCACACCCCTGGTCACAAGCCATCAGGGGTCCCCAATTCGCACAGAGACACACTGCACGAGGAGGGAGCTGGCATCACGGACACTGCGTCTGACCACGAGCTCGAGACCCAGCCGTGAGCCCCTCACACAGATCAAAGTGTAGGGTTCCACCCTGGGTCTCGGTCTGAGGTTGGACTCTTAGGAGAATTAGGGTGCACGCTAAACCCTAAACAGGCAGGGCCCCCTAAAAACCCAAGTCCAGGGCTTCCCTGGTGGCGCAGTGGTTGAGAGTCTGCCTGCTGATGCAGGGGACACGGGTTCGTGCCCCGGTCCGGGAAGATCCCACATGCCGCGGAGCGGCTGGGCCCGTGAGCCATGGCCGCCGAGCCTGCGCGTCCGGAGCCTGTGCTCCGCAGCGGGAGAGGCCACAGCAGTGAGAGGCCCGCGTACCGCAAAAAAACAAACAAACAAAAGAACCCAAGTCTAAGGAGGGCAGTGGTGTCCTTCATGGGCCGGATGTCCGGTGGCCATCAACACCCCTGAGAGCCATCGTCCATCACACTGCTCTCTCCACCTGCCCTTCCCGGCTTCCTGGCCGTCCCGAGTCCCTTTACCCACCCAGCACCTGCTCGCCTGGTCTATGCAGCTTGACCAACAACTGTGCCGGAACTGGCTGCCCTCAGCTGACCGTCCTGCCCGTGGCTGGACGAGGCAGACCCAGCCTTCCCACAGGTCCAGACCTGGCTGACACAGCGAGCCCAGAGGGCTGAACCCTTGGTCAGACTGTGAATCTGCAAAGGCATCCGGGCCCGTGAGTGGCCCAGCCCACTGGAGCCCCCCTTCCCAGGAGCTGGTGCTCCGAGGAAAGCAGAAGTTATGCAGAGCCTATGCAGAAGCTGCAAACCTCAAGGGGCAGGAACCTTGCCGTCATTCACTCAACAATCACTAATCTGGTGACTCCTGGGCACCACGCCCCGTGCTCAGCCCTGAGCACACAGAGGTGAACAGGTATGCGTACGCCAGCCCAGGGTCCCCTCAGGTGCATAGCCATGGCCTGGACATCCACAAGAGCTTTGACCTGCTCCTACAACCCGAACTAAGAAGAAAGGATGACACTTGTGACAGATGTCATCACAGCTGACCAACTGGCTTGCGTGGTGGACAGGGTGGGAACAGGCAGCGGGACAACCTGTGGCCTTGGGCCGGAATTCCTGAGGGCTGAGAAGGACATTCTGCAACAGGTGTCCCTGGAGAAGAGAAGCGTGGCCCAGCCTTGGCTGCCACGGTCGAGGCCGCTGGTGGCAGGACAGATAAGCCCCTAGGACTGATGCAAAGGGACAGAGGACCCTAAGTGTTCCTCCAGCCAGGCCGCCTCCATGGGAGCACAGGTCCCCTCTGTCCTCAGGGGACGGGCACAGTGAAAGGGCACAGGAGGCATGTACACTCCCAAGTCTCAGTTTTCCGTCTCTAAGATGGGGATGCGGATGGTTTCACAGAGCTGATGGACACCTTCTATGAGATGACAAAGGACAGAAGCTGTCCCTAGGTTCCTAGGTTTGCTGCCCAACTTGTGTGAAACAGGCGGTCCTGCGTGACCAGGATTCCTTCCTTGCAGGCTCTGGGCTCCTAGCTCCCAGCCCCTGGTGGTGCCTCTGAAATCTTCCACCACTCAGAGCCACGGGGGGCTGGGCCCCACCTAGAGAGCTGCTTACGCGTCCTCACCAGGTAGACCCTGAATGCCTTGAGGTCACCTGTCTTGTAGGGACCAGCTGGAACCATGGGCATCAGCTGATGACCAAGCCGTGGCCCCCACCTGGCCTGTGCCCACTGCCCTCAGCTTCCCAGACTGAAGGGACCTCGACCTGCCCCGCCTGCTGACCGCCCCTCCTCTGCCTCAGACCCTGTCTCGTAATCAGAGATGCTTCTCCAGCCCCAACCTGCACTGGACACTCCGGCCGGGCACCACGTGGGCTTGGCACCGCAGGTGCAGATGTGTCGCAAAGCCTCCTCGGGACACCAGCCATCGTGCGGGTGGAGGGAAGGAGAAGCAGGGCAGGCGCCCCCCCGGGACTGGCCCGGGCTCACCCTGGGAAGAGCTCCCACCCCACACACGGCACCCGGAGGACGCCCCGGGCTGACACATGGCTTCTGCAGACCCCGAATGCAGAACTTTCGTGCACTGGGTTGAATTGCGTCCCCTGACAACGTATGCCCACATCTGCACCCCCAGTACCTGTGAATGTGACCCTTATTTGGAAATAGGGTCTTTGTGGGTGTCATTAAGCTAAAGATCTCAGGATGAGGTCATCCTGGATTTAGGGCGGGCTCCAAATCCAATGACTAGCATCCTTATGAGAAGAAGGAAAGAGAGAAGAGGCCATGTGGAGAGGGAGACAGAGATGGGAGCGACAAAGGCCTAAGCAAGGGACATCAGGGGTTGCAGCGGCCTCCAGGAGCTAGGAAGAGGCCTGGAAAATGTTAACCCCCCAGAGGGGACCAACCCTGACAACACCTTAATTTGGGGCTTCTGGCCTCCAGAACTGTAAGAGAATAAATTGTCTTAAGCCCCAGTTTGTGGTGCTCTGTTCCAGCAGCCCCTGGAAACTCATACACATGGGTTGCTGGGATTTCACCCCCTCCCCCCAGCCTCAGCTGTCCCTTTCCTCCTCAACCTGCAGCCCCCCTTCCTCTCTCCGGCCCCTCTCTCCACGCCAAAGCCAAGCTGAGAGCTCTCAGGAGTCCCTGCCCACTCACAGCCTCAGAGCCCCGCTCCCCGGAAGAAGTGAAAAGCCACTAAAAACTACCAGCAGATGATGGATGGGGGTGAGGGTGGGGGCAGAGTCTGGGAGAAGGCGTGGACTTCCCACGTAGATGTGAGGGCAGGCAACAGGCAGGAGCGGCCTCCCGGGGCCTCTGCAGGAGACCTGGCCGCTCCAGGGCACAGGGATCCGCAGCCTGGGCGTGGGTGGGGCGGGCCACACAGGGTCCCACAGGGGTAGAGGCCCAGGGAGTGTTACTGGCTGAGAACCCCAGCCCAGGGACCCACATCCCACTCTCTCACAAAACAGAGCCAGGACAGGACAAGGTGAAGAGAAAAATGGAGCCCAGGGGGGTGGGGGGGAGGGGGGCGGAGGCTAGCGGGGCCCCACACACCTGCTGCTCCCTCTCCCCCATCCCCCGGCCAAGGTGTGTGCCATAGCGGTGGGCCTCGAGGGCTTCCCTCCGGCTTTCCTTCCCAGGGGGATGGGAACGGGGGAGGATGCCCTGTTAGCCGGGTCGGCCCCCTGCCTGCCTGGTCCCTCCCCCTCCACCCGGAGCTGGGAGCAGGCCAAACCCGGCTGGGAGCTGTCCGCGGTGCTGACGGGCGTGGGCCCCGCTGGGCCAGAGAGGGAGGCCCAAATCGGCTCCGAGATGACGATGCAACACTTGCACCCCGGGGTGTGGGTGGTGATGCGCGCTTGGAGAGGGAAGCACTGTCCTGGTACGGAGAACGCCATGGCCCCTCGGTTCTGCGTGTAGACAAAGGGCGGTTTCCGTTGAAGTGGTGAGGGCCGATGGTTGATATTTTCGGGCCTCTGAGACCATGGGGAGACGCAGGGACTCACCCTCCTCCTTGTCAGGGAGAGCCTGGGACGCTGTGGGCACGGAAGGGGGGCCGTGCCAGGGGTAAGGGCTGCGTCTGTCGGTGCAGGGCAGCTGCGAGGCCCCCACTTACCCCTCGTGTCCCTTGCAGAGGAAGAAGAGCGTGCGCCAGGCGTGCGCCGCGGCGAGCAACAGCGAGAGGAGGCTGGCCAGCAGGCTGAAGCGGCAGGCGGCCGGCGGGCCCCACTCCTGCACGGTGAAGCGCTCGCCCTCCTGCGCCGTCAGGTTGGCGCTCAGCCACATGCCCTCGGTGAAGAGCAGGCAGCGGCCGCGGAAGTCGTGGCCATTCTCGGACAGCGGCACTACCACCACGAAGCTGAACAGAAAGGCCAGGAAGTAGCAGACGCACTGCGCGAAGAGGAAATTGTTGAGCGCCATGGCGGGGCCAGGCGGGCCGAGGAAGCGGCCGGAGGAGGCCGCGGGGCTGGCTGGCGACGCGGGACGAGGGGCGCAGGCCGGGAGACGAGGCCGCGGGAGTCTCCCGGCGCCGCGCGCAAGCCAGGCCGGATCCGCGCGGGAGGCTGCGCAGTGGCGGCGCCGGCGGGGTCCTGCGCGCCCCGCCCGGGACGCGTGCGCAGCGGCCAAGCGCGGGCCGCGCCTGCGGTCAGCACCACGGACAGCTACCGGCGGGCTCGCGGCGCGGAAAGGGGGCAAAGGGGACAATGGGTGGGTGTGGGCCACGCTGGAGAACGGGTGTACCGATGCAGAAGCGGAATGGAAACCAGGAGAGGGAATGGGAAGATTGCTATGTCGGCTTACCGAGACCCGACTCTGGTACCAGGAGCTATACCTGTGCGGGCCTCACATACGATGGTTCCCAGGTCCCCAGTTGCCCCACTGGCGTTAAGGAAAGGAGGCTAGGAGAGAGCGATTCACAGGGACTGATTCAAGATGCCCATAATGAGGGGTGGGAGCGAGGTTTTCAGTCCGGACTGGAATGACTCTTTTTCGGGGGTCCTGGAGTGCACCAAGTATACGGGAAATGGGCCGGAGAGGGGAGGATCTGGGGTCGAGGAAGTGGCACAGGGGTCGCCACGGAGAGGTGGGTGCCGAGAGGACAGAGTGGCTCTGTTAGCTGTCTGTGCTTCTCCAGCACAGCACCCTCAGAAGGGATATCTCTCACTGCCTGACACAAGCAAAGCCCTGAGTTGGTATTTGTAAGATAAATAATGGATGCCCCAGGCACCTCATTAAGACAGCCCTTCCCGAGATGGAATCTGCTGGTGCATTAATTAGTGGAAGTAATGCCTTTTCTAGCTCCCTTTAAGACTAAGTCACATTTAGTCCAACTCCCAGAGTGAGGAAGCCTCCTTCCAAAAGACACTGCCAACTGGTTTAAAATTACATCGGCTTTTTTGTTGCAAGCGCTGAAAAAACCTTTTTGTTTTATTGCCAAAGTAATATATGCCCATTTTAAGAGTCAAGCCACATAGATGTTATGTATAAAATAAAAAGACAACGTCTCCTTCTTGCCCTGCCCACCCCCATCCAGCCACATGACTGGGGTGACCACTCTTCACAGTCTGACTTCTACTTTTCTAGACATTTTGCTAATCACATAAACGCCCACAATTTACACAAGTGCTTCATACGATACACACCATTCTGCAGGTTGATTCCTTCATTCGGCAGTATGTCATGGACCTTATTCCCTGCCCACACATAGAGATCTACTTCATTCTTCTTAATAACTGTGTAAAAGTCCATAATCATGAAGATCCCACAATTTGCGTAACTATCCCTCTTTGGGTAGCTGGTTAACGTCTTCCATTTTTGCTAGTTCAAATACTGTTGAGTGAGCTTCCTTGTACACGCATGCTTGTGCACTTGTACAGCTACTTCCTAAAAGAGAAGTTCTTAGGAGAGGAACTGCTGGGTCATGGGGTGTGCACCTTTAAGAGTTGACAGAAATTTGTACCAACTTACCTTCCTATCCATGCTGCAGACACCCTCTCCAACACTGAGAAAATCGCTGTATTTAAATTCTATCAGTCTTCATTGAGGTGTAACCTTGGGTTTCCCTTATCATCGTGAGGTTGAGCACCTTTTCCTGTGCTGGTACTATGTGTAGTTTGTCTTCTGTGCATTGCACATTCACTTTGCAGTCACTTTAAAGCATACATCGAAGACCAGCCGTGGGTCTGGGACAGCAACCCTTCCCTTGGAGAATACACATGGGGTTTCTGCTACTGTTGAGTTCCCCGATTCAACCAAAGGGAGCCTGCTCAGGAAATTCAGTGCCCCCCCCAACTTGGACAAGAGTTGAAATCCTATCCAATCATTCTCCAGTGGACTAATTTGAACACATCTGGGGGTCTTACACTTTAAGGGTTAGGCCAAAACAAAAGAGACCATGACAATTGAGAGACAAGTGGCCCAAAGGGAGAACTACAGAATAAATTGGAAAGATTATTAAATATCTACCATTTTTTAAGAGATCTTTATTGGACTATAATTGCTTCACAATACTGTGTTAGTTTCTGTTGTACACCAGAGTGAATCAGCTCTATGCATACATATATCCCCACATCCCCTCCCTCTTGAGCCTCCCTCCCATCCTCCCTATCCCACCCCTCTAGGTCATCGCAGAGCACCAAGCCCATCTCCCTGTGCTATGCGGCTGCTTCCCACCAGCCACCTATTTTACATTCGGTAGTGGATATATGTCGATGCTACTCTCACTTCGCCCCAGCTTCGCCCTCCCACCCCATGTCCTCAAGTCCATTCTCTATGTCTACATCTTTCGTCCTGCCCTGCAACTAGGTTCATCAGTACCTTTTTTTTTTTTTTTAGATTCCATATATATGCATTAGTATATGGTATTTGTTTTTCTCTTTCTGACTTACTTCACTCTGTATGACGGACTCTATGTCCATCCACCTCACTACAAATACCTCAATTTTGTTTCTTTTTATGGCTGAGTAATATTCCATTGTATATATGTGCCACATCTTCTTTATCCATTCATCTGTCGATGGACATTTAGGTTGGTTCCATGTCCTGGCTATTGTAAATAGTGCTGCAATGAACATTGTGGTGCATGTCTCTTTTTGAATTATGGTTTTCTCAGGGTATATGCCCAGTAGTGGGATTGCTGGGTCATATGGTAGTTCTACTTGTAGTTTTTTAAGGAACATCCATACTGTTTTCCATAGTGATTGTACCAATTTACATTCCCACCAACAGTGTTGGAGTGTTCCCTTTTCACTACACCCTTTCCAGCATTTATTGTTTCTAGCTTTTTTGATAATGACCATTCTGACTGGCGTGAGGTGATACCTCATTGTAGTTCTCTAATAATTAGTGATGTTGAGCATCTTTTCATGTGCCTCTTGGTCATCTGTATGTCTTTCTTGGTGAAATGTCTATTTAGGTCTTCCATCCATTTTTTAACTGGATTGTTTGTTTTTTTGATATTGAGCTCCATGGGCTGTTTGTATATTTTGGAGATTAATGTTTTGTCTGTTGTCTCATTTGCAAATATTTTCTCCCATTCTTAGAGTTGCCTTTTTGTCTTGTTTATGGTTTCCTTTGCTGTGCAAAAACTTTTAAGTTTATTTAAGTCCCATTTGTTTATTTTTGTTTTTATTTCTGTTACTCTAGAAGGTAGGTCAAAAAAGATCTTGCTGTGGTTTATGTCAAAGAGTGTTTTTCCTATGTTTTCCACTAAAAGTTTTATACTGGCCGGTCTTACATTTAAATCTTTAATCCATTTGGAGTTTATTTTTCTGTATGGTGTTAGGCAGTGTTCTAATTTCATTCTTTTACATGTAGCTGTCCAGTTTTCCCAGCACCACTTATTGAAGAGGCTGTCTTTTCTCCATTGTATGTTCTTGCCTCCTTTGTCGTAAATTAGGTGCCCAAATGTGCACGGGTTTATCTCTGGGCTTTCTATCCTGTACCATTTACCTATATTTCTGTTTCTGTGCCAGTACCATACTGTCTTGATTACTGTAGCTTTGTGGTATAGTTTGAAGTTGGGGAGCCTGATTCCTCCAACTCTGTTTTTCTTTCTCAAGATTGCTTTGGCTATTTGGCGTCTTCCGTATTTCCATATGAATTGTAAGATTTTTTGTTCTAATTCTGTGAAGAATGCCATTGGTAGTTTGATAGGGATTGCATTGAATCTGTAGATTGCTTTGGGTAGTATAATCATTTTCACAATATTGATTCTTCCAATCCAAGATCATGGTATATTTCTCCATCTGTTTATGTCATCTTTGATTTCTTTCATCAGTGCCTTATAGTTTTCTGAGTACCGGTCTTCTGCCTCCTTAGGCAGCTTTATTCCTAGGTATTCTTTTTATTGCGATGGTAAATGGGAGTATTTCCTTAATTTCTCTTTCTGATTTTTAATTGTTGGTGTATAGGAATGCCAGAGATTTCTGTGCATTAATTTTGTATCCTGCAACCTTACCAAATTCATTGATTAGCTCTAGTAGTTTTCTGGTGGCATCTTTAGGATTTTCTATGTACAGTATCGCGTCATCTGCAAAGAGTGACAGTTTTACTTCTTCTTTTCCAATTTGTATTTCTTTTCTTCTCTGATTGCCATGGCTAGGACTTCCAAAACTATGTTGAATAATAGTGGTGATGGGCTTCCCTGGTGGCGCAGTGGTTGAGAGTCCGCCTGCCGATGCAGGGGACACGGGTTCGTGCCCCGGTCCAGAAAGATCCCACATGCCGCAGAGCGGCTAGGCCCATGAGCCACGGCTGCTGGGCCTGTGTGTCTGGAGCCTTGCTCCGCAATGGGAGAGGCCACAATAGTGAGAGGCCCACGTACCACAAAAAAAAAAAAAAAAAAAAAAACAGGGGTGGGGGGGGACATCCTTGTTTTTTTCTTTATCTTAGAGGAAATGCTTTCAGTTTTTCACCATTGAGAATGATGTTTGCTGTGGGTTTGTCTTATATGGCCTTTATTATGTTGAGGTAAGTTCCCTCTATGCCCAGTTTCTGGAGAGTTTTTATCATAAATCGATGTTGAATTTTGTCAAAAGCTTTCTCTGCATCTATTGAGATGATCATATGGTTTTTATTCTTCAATTTGTTAATATGGTGTATCACATTGATTGATTTGCGTATATTGAAGGATCCTTTCATCCCTGGGATAAATCCCACTTGATCGTGGTGTATGATCCTTTGAAGTGCTATTGGATTCTGTTTGCTAGTATTTTGTTCAAGATTTTTGCATCTATGTTCATCAGTGATATTGGTCTATAATTTTCTTTTTTTGTGATATCTTTTTCTGGTTTTGGTATCAGGGTGATGGTGGCTTCATAGAATGAATTTGGGAGTGTTTCTCCCTCTGCAATTTTTTGGAAGAGCTTGAGAAAGATCAGTGTTAGCCCTTCTCTAAATGTTTGATAAAATTCACCTGTGAAGCCAT